CTGCCCCCACACCCTCCCCTCGCGTGGCCCCCACACCCTATGTCCACTCAGGGAGCCCCAATTCTCTCTCGACAGATCATGGAGATGGCAAGCACAGTCAACCTTTTAAAACATCCACTCGACCTTGTCATCTCCCATTCAGACCTCCAGGAGAGCCTTTCTTCTGGAGGCTACAGCCCTGACCTAACTCTTGGGTTGCTACGACCTCACCCCACTCCACTCCACTCCCCGGACCCCCACCTCCTCTCTGCTGTCTCCCGCCATACTCTCCCAAGCCTTTTCTACAGTAACAGTTTTATTGACTTATAATTCACACAATTCAATAGTTTCAGTTAGATGAAAAAGAATTGTGTAATCACCACCACAATCAATTTTAGAACAGCTTTCTTATATTCATGATTATTAACGCCCTATCTGTCCCCAACCTCCCCTACCTTAACTCTAAGAATCTATGAATCCGGTTACCGTCTCTATAGATTTATCTATCCTGGATTTCCAATTTAGTATATGAAGCAAACATTATCCTGGATTTCATATATAGAAAAACACACCACCCTCCCCAAACAAAACAAACCCAGCAACAATAACGAAATAAAACAAAGAAACCCCAAAGAAAACCGAAACTGTTAAAAACTAGAATACATTTAGAATGAATCAAAAAGGAGAACAAACGATAAGCTGTTACATTTTAACCTAACTCCATCTACAGTAGTCTACTTTCCGATGCATTCTGTAGGGAAGCAAGGCTATTCACACCCCTGGCCAATGATCAGAGGGAATTCACTGGAGGCTTAATCCACTTGGGGGGCTCTGCAAATGGATTTGGGGCTTTCACTGTCATTCATAGCCTTCTGTAAACTGGGCCCTGGGAACGGAAGCTATAATAGCATTCCCTCCTCTGGCCTTGAATTTACTTATGTAGATTCCGTAGATCACACAGCTTGGTGTGCCTCTTCCCTGAAGACTCCGCAAACACCTCACTTAGATGGCTGCCTGTTTAAATCTCCAAGACCCCAGTTGCTATTCTTCCTGATAGCTGGCACCACCTGATTTCTTTACCACGCTTTGCTACAGCAGCCCTATCACCAGTGATCGCTGCATGATCCTCCCATGCCACCTAAAACTAGTTGCCCTCAAGTGATGGTAATTCTGGCTCACGGTGACCTCATGTGAATCAGAGCAGAATTGTGCCCCATCTGGTTTTCAATGGCTGACTTCTGGAAACAGATTGCCAGGCCTTTCTTCTGAGGTGCCTTGGGATAGACCAAACTGCCAATCTTCCAGTTGCCAGCCAAGCTAGTTACCTGCTGGCACAACCAGGGGTGACATAACATGCCATCCTCCTTGCCTTGGCTTGCACAATTCCTTTGGTCATGAGTCTTTTCCCTCCCGCTCCAGCCTCCTTTACATCCTCTCCAAGTGTCTCTCCAGTGATGCCGGAGACTCCCCTCCAAAGAAGTCTTCACCGAGTCTGGCTTCTTTCAACTGTAAATGTTCTCCTCTCCCTCTTAAATCACCTGGGAGTTTCTGCGTGTATCTTGTGCGCGTTGTCACATTCCGTCTTTGATCAAGGGGGCATGTGTTCCAATTTCTGCCCTACGGTGGCACTGTGGGTGAGGTGCTGGGCTGCTAATGCCAAGGTCGGTGGTTCAACGCCTCAGCCACTCCGCAGAAGGAAGGTGAGGCTGGCTGTTCCCAAGGAGATCTCTAAGCTTCGAATTCCTATGTAGCATCACTGTGAGTCAGAACCATCACTTGTGTGTCAGCTTGTAAAACTACGATGCTTTGTGGGTTGCTCTGATGCTGGAAGCGATGTCACTGGTATCTCAGCAGAGCTTCCAGACGAAGAACAGACTATGAAGAAGGAATTAACTGCAGAACACCTACGGACAGCAGGTTAACCGAAATAGAAGCAGAGCATCGTCAGAGATGGTGGCAGGAGATGAGCTCCTCGGGTCAGAAGGCACGCAAAATACGACTGAGGAAGAGCTGCCTCCTCAAAGCAGAGTTGATCACAGCGAGGGGGGTGGAGCACAGTCTGTGAGCAAAGCCTTCAGCCCTTCCTTTGCTGTCGGGGCATGGCCCAGAATGAGAAGAAACAGCTGACCCATGCTGCAGCCATGCCAGGACAGTTGTGAGGATGTCACAGGATGGCCAGGTTTCCTTCTGTTGGCTATAGGGTCACCACCGTGAGTCGCAACAGACTGGACGGCACCTAACAGCACCATCGTGGGCAGAATCGACGCCATGGCGGTGGGTTTGGGTCCATCAGGAACCTCAAGAGACAATCACTTTGTCTGTTTACAGAAAATGCTGTATACGTGTATTACTGAGGGAGGTCCAATGGGTCTTAAAAGGAGATTGGAGAGGGGGCCAGCGGGTAACAGCCAGGCCCACGGCCAGGTGCAGGATCTGTGTTTGCCTCAGGCTGCAGGAATGAGGTTCTGATGGCTCTGAAGGGTTGCGTAGCCCAGATGGCAGGGAGACAGGGCACTCTTGTGCAGCTAAATGTGGCCATGGACCCCCTTCTAAACACTTAAGGCAGCCTGCTAGATTTGGGCAGGGTGGAGGGGAAGACAAGAAGGGGTGGGACCAGGGAGGCAGCTGCGACTGCTGAGTGTTTGTTTCCGCTTAAGAGAGAACTTGAACAAAGCAAGCGCTCTAAAAACCAACCCAGCAGCTTCTTACAGCAGGCAGCTCCCCACCTGTGACTTGAGGAAGTGGGGCTGCCTGACCATCTGAGGGGGGGAGGGTGGCAGCCTGGGAACACCGGCTTCTCTCACCTCTGGGAGTCTGATTCTCTGTCCATCCAAGCTAGTCTTCATAAAGCTCATCCACACGAGTGTTCCCACAGCTCTGCCCGGTACCCAGTAGGCAGTTAGTAAATATTTGAGGAGTGAGGCACCAGATGATCTGATGACCGTAGTGCTGACACCCATGTATTTTTCACTTCCGGACGAACTGTTACTTAATATAGGTTGACCACCAACAGTGCCCTTTGTCCTCCCCAAAAAACACCTTCTAAGAGTATTTTTGTTCTAGAATTTTCTCTTGCCTCCAGTCAACTGAAGACTTAAGAAGCACTCTTGGCTATCTGATGGCTCACCTTCTCCCTGGTAAAACTATTCTAAGAGAAGAACTAGGGCGATTCAAACAGTGTTCAGTAAGAAGTCCAGTTAACTGGAGGGGGAAATATGGTTTGGGTAATTTATATTGCGTTGTAACTGGCGCTGTGAGCTAGACAGTGAAAGCTAGGCATTGATTGTTCTGCGGACTGAAGAGTGGGTGGTTCAAACCCACCAGCTGCTCCACAGAAGGATGTCAATCGGCTCCCGTCAGACTGACAGTCCCAGAAAGCCCATGCAGGGGCCTCTAGGAGTCAGAACCCACTGGACAGCAGTGGGATGGGTAACTAAGCAAAGCAGAAGGGAACAAAGGTTTATTTAAACCAATGAAACTTGTTTCCGACTGTTTCGAATCTATAGCAAAGGTGCCATTCTAAAGAGAAAGTTAAGGCTTGTGTCTGGGAAAGAGGCAGTTCGAGTCTGACCCTCCTGAATGTCAGGGACTCTATATTTCCCCTAATATATATATATATATATATGATATGCATATTTACATATATACACTCCCCCTCACCCCCCAAACACAACTTATCCAAACAGGTGATCAAACTCATCTCAGAGGGTCCAGCACCCTTGGGGAATGCTGACGTTCCCAAGTGAGATGTGGGGTCTTGGCCAGAGAAATGGGCTTTGGTGACAGACAATGAGGAAGAATATTCTAGAGTGTTCCATAGTCAGTGTGCTTGCGAAAGAGGGCTTTGTAAACTACCTGTAAAAAACGAAACCCATTACCATGAGGTTGATTCCCACGGACCCCATAAGAGCGAGCAGATCTGCACCGCCCCCCACCCCCATCCCCCCGGGTTTCTGAGGCTCTACAACTTGATTCAGAAGCCTCCTCATTCTCCCTAGGAGTGGGCAGGTGGGTTTGAACCAGATCTTTCAGTGAGCAAGCAGTCCAGCTCTTAAGCACTACACACCACCAGGGCACCTTGTGAATTGTAAAACAAACACACACACACACACACACACACACACACAGTGCCATCAAGTGGTTTTAGCCTCAAAGTGACCCTATAGGGTGGGTAAAACAGCCCCTTTAGTTTTCTGGGACAGTCGCCCTTTGTGGGAGCACACAGTCTCATCTTTCTTCCACAGTGCCACTGATGGAGTCGAAGAGACAACCTTTCGTTTAACAGCCCAATGGTAAGGCGCTCAACTCTACTGAATTCTCAGACTGTCACTCTTTACATACCGGTAAGTAGAGAGCCCTGTCTTTCTCCCACGGAAGAGGGTGGGGCGGGAGGGAGGGGGAGGGAGGTTTTGAACTGCTGGTCTTGCAGATGGCAGCCCAATGTGTAACCACTATGCCACCAGGGCTCCAGGGCAGCACCGTATGTATGTTAAATGAGAGTCTGCGACTGCACACCAGGTTAGTGGAGTCCCCTGGGTGCTCACTCGCCATTCCTGGTGACTTCTGGGCCACACACCTGGCAGCTTCCAGTATCAAACAAGCAAAGGAGCGAACGGATCCCCACTCCTGGCGTTCCCAGGTGTTACACAGTAGAACTAACTGTTCCTGGCTATCATCTTAAGGTGGCGTTTCGGGCATGGGCCGAGTTGAATGCACTTGTGGCATTCTGAAGACGTCCTGAATAGTACCGTCGTAAACTTGGCATTGCGGGGTGGTGGGGGGTATGTTCCAGCTATTCGTCTTCGCCCACGCTTCAGGGAAGTCCGGGTGCCCGCCAGCGTCCCCCAGTCCGTTCAGCCAGCCCCCGACGACCCGGGCTAAAGTGGGCGCCTTCCCATCTGCCGTCGAAGCTCCAGGGGTGGGAGGGGGCGCCCCGAGTGCCCCCGACCCCTCGGCCCGCCCCCAGCTCCTCCCCGTGGCCAGGGCGCCCCGTCCAGTCCGCCCCGCGCGCCCCTGCCTACCTGGGTGTACAGCTCCGCCACCGCCATGGGCGAGGCTGTGCGGGCCCGGAGGCCCAGGTGACCGGGCGGCCCCGAGAGTGCAGCGCCGTCCGCGCGGGCGCAGCGCCAATCACCGCGGTGCCATCCGCGGGAGCTCCCCCGCACAACTCGCCCCAGTCCCACAGGCTGGCGGCGAGGAGGGGAAAGCCGCGGCCAGCCCCGCCCCCTCCTCCGCGGATTGGTCCTTACGGGCCCCGCGCGGCCAGTCCTCGCTGCTATTGGCCGGGGCCGGGGCGGAGCGGCCCTCCCCCCTGCAGGTGCTCGGCGGTCGAGGGGGTCCACCTGGCGGGAGGCGCCGCGCCGCGGGCCAACGAATCCCTGGGGCGCTGGTTCTTTCTCCCTGGGGAGAGAGGGAGCACACGCTCCTGAGGGCCCTAGCTTTCTAGCAAATTCTGAAATGGAGTCTGCCAACGCTGTTCTTTCCCAAGATTTTTATATTAGCCGCTTTGTGGCTCCCTCGAAATCTCAGATGATTTTAGAATTTTCTTGTCGGTTTTTAGAAGGAAGCCTGCTAGGATTCTGATGAGATTGCATAAATCTGTAGGTCAATTTGGGGTGTGTGCATTGCTAGCTAAAGGAGCCCTAGTGGCGCAGTCGGTAAGCATTAGACTTCTCATGGCAAGGTCAGCGGTTCCAACCCAGCTGCCGCTCCGGGGGAGATAAGGTTCTCTGCTCCCAAAGATGGACAGCCTCAGAAACTCTATGTAGGGAAGCTATCACTGGATATTGACGTGATGGTCATGGTTTTGGCTTAGTATTGCTAACTCTTGCACGTACTTATTATACATTAAGGATATAAAATTAGCAATTTGTTCAAAGTTTCGCTGTTCTCAGAATATGCTTCTCCCTTCTTTGGTTAAATTTATTCTTTTTTAAAAAAAATAAAAATATATTAAGTATTTTATTCTTTCTGATTCTATTGCAAATACAATTGTGTTCTTCACTAAAGGACTGGCCACTACAAGTGTATAAAAAGCACAACTGATGTTTGTATATTGATCTTGGATCTGCAACCTTGCTGATCCGGTTTATTGTTTCTAATAGTCCTTAGGTTGTCCCTACGCAAGGCCATGTCATCTACAAAAAGTTCCACTGCTTTCTTTCCAATGTGGATACTTAATGTCCCCTCCCCCCCCTTCCCGATTTCTCAGGCTCAGACCTTTAGTGTGGTGAAGAGGAAGCGGCACCCTTGAATTGTGCCTGATCTTAAGGGAAAACAGCCTTTCGCCATTACAAACATTGAGATGTTTAACGACCGCTGCCATTGGGCTGAGTCTGACTTGGGTTCCAAGATTTTGAATCTTACAGGAGCAGACAGCTTCATCTGTCTCCTGAGGAGCAGCTGGTAGATCGGAATTAACCACCTTGGCATTAGCAGCCAGCACAGCCCACTGCTCCACTGGGAGGCCTCAGTATGCTGCTAAAACTCAAAAAAGACCAAACCAATTGCCACCGAGTGGATTCCAGCTCATAGCGCCCCTGCAGCACAAAACAGAACTGCCCCTGTGGGTTTCTGTCTGATAAAAAGTCCCATCGTTCTCCCTTGAGCTGCTGGTGGGCTCAAACTGCAGACCTTTTTGGTTAGCCCAACCTGTAGCCCGCTATGCCAAGAGGTCCCCTCAGTGTGATGTGAGCTGTGGTTTTAAAAAAGTAGATTCCCTTTATCAGGTTGAGTCCCTTTTATACCTAGTTTGGTGGGTGTTTATGATAAGACATCTTTGGATTTTTGTTAAATGATCTTCTTCGATTTTGATGATTGTGTTGGCTTTGTACTTTATTCTAGCCATATGGTCCATTACTTTAACTCAGGAGGCCTGGTGTCCAGGGGATTGAGCAGTGGACTGTTCACCACGAAGTCACTGGTACAAACTCACCGGGCATTCCAGGAGAAAGAGGAGTCAGTCAGCTTCTGTCAAGATTTATAGCCCCAGAAATCTTTCCTATAGGATCAATCGCTACGAGTCAGACCGACTCCATGCCAGTGGTTACGAAGTTCATTGATTTTTAGACGATGATTCTACCTTGCAATCCCACGGGACATAGAAATCCTTTTATATGCGGTGGGTTCAGTTTGATAGCATTTTGTTAAGGATTATTTTCTCTACACTCATAAAGTATGTTACTTTTCTTATGTTGTCTAGTTTGGGTATTTATCAGGACAATATTGGCCTTGCAGAATGAGTTTGCAAACACCGATACTTAATTCCATATAACATCTTTGTGTCCCATCAGACACGGGGCTAGTGATTCAATCTAACTTGGCTGCTACGGTCACTCCAGAATAGTGCTTAATAAGCTAGCTGAATGAACGAACGACGGCAGAGAGGCTGCTGTTCTTGGTGGTTCTGACTCACAGCAACCCTGCGGTCTACAGGACTAAACACCGGCTGATCCTGTGCTCGCCTCACCATCACCATGTCTGCGATGCATAATCTACATGACTCCCCAGACTCTAAATGAAGATAAGGCTAATTCTACCACATAGCTGGACAACCTTGTTCTTTCTTACTGAGGCCAAATGAGTGCATCTCCTTACGTCTTTCAGCCTTAGCCTGTACTGCATTTGTTTTATAATTAAAATATACCATTTGATGCCGTCACATCTTCAGTCATTTGAAAGAGAAAGTCAACGATGTCATTCATTGCCATTGCCTGGCCCCACTCATGGCAGCTCCTGTCCAGTCCCGTGCCATCCACTGCAGCTGCGCTGTTGGGGTGCTTATTTGCACTGGCTGGTTTTCAGGGGGAAGGGGGCCTGGAGGTATAGTGGTTACACATTGGGCTGTGCTTTGCAAGGTCAGCAGTTTGAACCCACCAGGTGCAGAAAGATGAGGCTTTCTACTCCCGTAGTTACAGTCTCGGAAACCCACAGAGGCAGTTCTACCCTGTCCGGTAGGGACAGTAGGAGTCGGCAGCGACTCAATGGCCACCCGTTTGGTTTGGTTTTCGGCGGTACGTATGCCAAATTCCCCTTGGCTAAATCTATTCCTCTGTCGGAGAATTCTAAAACATCAACTGACTCAGAAGGGAAAATGTAGCCATTTCGCTAATTGCCTTTTTTGTTTAGAGCAGTGGTTCTCACCTTCCTAATGCTGGGACCCTTTAATACAGTTCCTCATACTGTGGTGACCCCCAACTATAAATTATTTTTGTTGCTACTTCATAACTGGCATTTTGCTACTGTATGAATCGGGCAACCCCTGGGAAAGGGTCGTTCGCCCTCCAAAGGGTCGCGACCCACAGGTTGAGAACTGCTGGTTTAGTGGTTTAGCAGTTCTCTTCTTCACCATGTTGTCCAGGACGAAAGTGCAGACTCACGGCCACCGTTCGGAAGAATGTGCTGTGGAGAAGTTAAGCGACACTGACAAGCCTTTATATCCATATCTTTATTTGAACAATTGTCTATCATAGCTAGGAGAGAACAGCGTCAATGGCACACATTTACTCGTACGACATGAGGCATCTACAAATTTGGAGCAGAAATGTCATCTGATTTTGTTTTGGATTTCATCTTAGCACTAGCTGATATCTAGTGAAAACCTGTATTTCCAAGGCCTTTATTTCTGTTGATCTGAGGCGATTAGTCAGGGTTTTGTCCAAACTTCCTTGAAGGTAAGCTGTAATGGGCACAACAGAAAACTAGAGTTGGCTTGATAGTGGCTTGCACTTCTCAGCACTTCTGCTTTTTTGATGGATGACTCTCTCCTAAGAACTTCTCACAGAACAACTGCACCACCACACGGGTTCTATGCACAGATCCAAGTGAAATTCCTTCTCCAGATTCAACAAGGGAAAACAGGCTGAAAAACTGTAACATTCAGTTTCCTTGTAGGTTATTTCACAGCGAAATTATGTTAAGTACAAAATATCACACGCTAAATGGTGTGAGCCCATTTCTCTGCAACATTGTTAAAGCAATTTAACAACAACAACAAACCCCAATAAGGATCAAGGAGCTCACAAAAATACATAAGAGGAATCACAAATTACAACATATATATCCACAGTTAAAGGAAAGCCAAAAACCAAACTCCATTTGTAGGGGCAACAATTAAGTGGATCGAGTGATTTAGAGAATCTGAAATGTGGGCTAATTTTTTAACACATGGTGATATTATATTTGAAGCTACTGACTTTTAAAAATACATTCAAAGTCTACTGAACTATGAAGGATTCAATGACATATACCAGTTTCAATTCAAAAAGCATGTTTCCTTTCTATTATAATATTATGGGAATGTTAGTCATTGTCAGACTCTAATGATGCCCTTTAGAGTAAGTTAATGAACATTTTAGCTACACCAAATTATAAAATACATTTTAGCAGACATTTTACCCAGTACTTTGCAGTGAGAAAGTGGATTGTGATTCCAGGTTGATTTGTTTAATACAAGAGGTTAGAACTTACAGCACTCAACCTTTTTTGTAGTCAAAGTTCTTATTCTTTCTAAAAGAATGCCCGTGAAAGGTTCTAGAGCAGCGGTTCTCAATCTGTGGGTCGTGACCCCTTTGGGGGTTGAACGACCCTTTCACAGGGGTCGCCCAATTCATAACATTAGCAAAATGACAGTTAGGAAGTAGCAACGGAAATAATTTCATGGTTGGGGGGTCACCACAACCTGAGGAACTGTATGAAAGGGTCCTGGCATTAGGAAGGTTGAGAACCACTGCTCTAGTCATACCTTCTATCAAAGATGGGTTAGTAGAAAAGAGGATACTGAAATATTACCAGTTATCTAACCGATCTAATGTTTCTTGCAGGTGTTTATTTGCTTACTTGGGGCAGATATCCCACTGAGTCAGGAACATGCTCTCACGTGGCATCTCATTGGTTTGGCCATTGGTGCTGCCCCTACTGCTGTTCCTTGTTTGCAAATAACAGAAAGCAGAAATAACAGGAGGGAGTGTGGGTCGTGCAAGAAGGAAGAAAGGGGCTGGTGGTGGGAGAGACGATATCCAACAAAAACCCTCACAACCCTGTAAGACACAGAGCAAGATTTCCTCTTCAGGCAAGAGATCCTTTGCAAAGAGAAAGCTCCAGAGAACTTAAGGCAGCTCTAGAAGGGAAGGGAGCAGGGGTTAAGGCGGCCCTCACAGCACTGCCTGAGAACAAACCACAACGCACTTATCCATGAACATAGGCCACAACACCACACAGCACATCTAGCGCAAACACTGCAGGCATGCACACGTTGCAATGTACAACCCCATGCTGATTTGGACTGGGTTGGCCTAGTGGACGGCCTCAGGAGGTACCTAGTGGCCTGGGCTACTCTGTGTTGAGGCCCTCGATCAGGGAAGGTGGCCAAGCCTGAATATCCCAGAGTCTGGCCAGCTCACCTGGTAACTCTCAAAGGGGCTCTGGGGAATGTGTAGGGAAGCTTTCACTGCTTCCTGTCTCTTCGGTTGAGACTGCCTGACACCGAATTAACATCCTACACACAGAGCATCGTGTGGACCTTCCAAGGGTCCAGACTCATCACAACCAGTTACTCTGACAGAAAAGAAAACCACCTGTGTCTGGGCCTTCATCCATCAGAACAAATCATACGGTACGCTACCCTTGCTCAGTCCCATGTCGGATGAAAACCAGGGAGCACCCCTTGCTGACCCTGCAGGACCCCACTAGTACCAGGAAGAGAATGCCGCCTCACCATGGCCATGTTTTAATCTCCTGCTTCTCATCTGCTCGCACTGCCTGCCCCCCACCCCACCCCCCATGGCTTTGGGCAAGTGGGAAGTTCAGGACTGTGCAACATCAGGTAGTTCTCGCTCATTGTCATCTGCCGGTCCTACCCTATCTACTGCTGCGAAGAAGAAATGAGGTAACAGAGAAAGAGCATCGAAGTCAAGCGCGTCTGGACATAAGGTGTGGTTTCTGTGTGACTTTCAACAGGAGAAATGAAGGGTCACTCACGCACTGTTTGCTTTCTGCTTTATCCAAAACAGCCCCGAATACCCAGAGGGTCTTGGCATATGCCTCCTGGGGAACGTGTGTGTGAGACAGAGAGAGAGAGAGAGAGAGAGACTGGAGACTGACTGAACACTACAAGGACTTCTCAGGATGATGGGGGCAGGTGCCCCTTTACCTAGGGTGACCAAGAAAGATATTTCTCACAAAAATCACTACATCGGAATTCAAATAAAGTGACGTATCTTCAGTCTTCCTCGCTATGTTAATAAAAAAAATCTGACCCATATTACCGATAAGTACTTACCAAGTAGGCATCAACTCTTATTAGTCATTGTAATGACAAAGCAAATCATCCAAACTGGCCCATGTCCCCTATCAACTGGCTTTGGAACATATTTTTGTTACTTGTTGAAAAAAAGTGTCGGGTAACATGGGGAGTTCCCGAGACTTCCAGTGTAGCAGGAAGCTACACTGTGTGAATCTGATCTCGGCCTCACCTCCCCCACCTCTCCTTAGTTACTTTTAGGCAAGGGGCCCTGCTTCCAAATTTCAGCTTTGCCTTCCTAGAGTGTGCAGAGAGGAGGTCTGGGGAACAAGACAATCAAGAAAGGGCTCGTAAGACAGGGATCTGCTGCGGGTTTGCATCTCTTCCCCTGAATCTCTGTGGTGCAGCAGAGAGGAATGAGGAAGAAGCAGAATAGGGATCATGTCACGGGTGTTTTGCAGAGAATGGGGAGAACTTGTGCAAAGATTGGCTGGCAGGTACGACAGTAGGCAGGCCAGCAGGGCACTGAGAATAAACAGCACCCACCTGCCTTCAAAGAGCAGCACGTGGGGGGCTCTGTGATTCAGCTGCGGGGCGAGGAAGAGGACTGGGTGCAGAGAGCTGGAGGAAGGTGGTAGAGCTGGGTCGAAAGCTGGGCAGAAGGAAACGTGGGCAGTGCTCCGCCTGGCCCAAGGATCCCAGAGCGAGCAGCGCATCATTGCATCCTCCAGGAAGCAGTGCACAGTCACTCGCTGCCTCCTTAGTCCCAGGGCTGCAAGCTAGTCACGTGACAACGCACCTTTTCCAGGTTACTGGGAAATTAATGAAGCTGCAGTTCGAGGCAGGCCTTGGAGGAAGTGGGAACCCTGGGATAGTAGAACCTTTGTGTTTAGAGTTGGCATGGGCACGAGTACAGAGCAGGGCTCTAGCATGCCACAGGGTGCCGAGGGAGCAGAAGGGAAGGCCCAGGCCCGAGAGGCTTCAGGGTATGATCTCTCTGTTGCATTGATGTCTTGAAGGCCCGATCTCCTAGACTGGACTAAGCTGGGGCAAGGGTCTTGGAGAGCTTCCACGTGTGAGGTGGGCAGCCTACATCAGGGTTGCACCCCCCTCCCCCCCTCTGTTTTTGCTAGCAGCTCCTTCATCCAATCCCCATCTCTGTTGTACTAGGGCCACATTCAGTAGTAACCGCAATTAGAAGCCTTAGTTAGAAGACTAATTGTTCCCTGAAAACCGCATTGCCAACCAGGGAAAAGGGAGACACGTTGAATCAGTTGTGTTTGGGGTTGATTTTGCAAATAAATAAATATAGTCAACAGAAGAGAGCAGTACATGATCCGGTAATAATCACCTACCAAATTAATGTTCAAATAATAAAAATATAGTAGGCCTCCTTAAAGGCATAAACGCAAATCATATCCACTTAAGTAAGGTTATGGCGACTAGATACCTGGGATTTTGTATTTTCAGAATCCCTGAACAGGTCCCAGAGACTGGGCTGTCCAGCAGAGGGAGCTCTGAAAGTGCAGCCTGCTGCTCTGGGATCCAAGTTCTGAGAGGGGAGGCTTTAGAGGGACAGGATCTCAAGAAGCAGCTGCTCAACCCTCTCATCTTAAAGACAAGGAAAATGAGGCCCAAATAAGGGAATAGGCAGTGTTTATCATCTAAGAATCTTTATCACAGGCCTGGAAGGGTTTGATTCTCCCGGAATATTGCACACGGCTAACACTTAAATGACATAAACCTATGATTGTAATTCTGATCCAGAGTTTCTAATGAAAACTAACGATTTGCTTTTGCACAACCTGATGATTTGTTGTATGAGACCCTGGGGGTGGGGCAGTCTGTTTAACTGGAATTTCAGAATGGAAACTTAACAGAATCTGGCTCTTAGGGAGCCAAATCCTCTGTAAAATTCAACAATCTTCTATATTTCATATATGTCTTCTTAAAGTATTTCTAATATGATGCTCTTTAAAGTATCTAGTAGTATCTGAGAACACTTATAGCCTACGAAAACGGAATCATAATTAAATATCTAGTCTACACCTTCATTTGCATAACCTGTAAGGATAATCAAGGTCTTCGGATTTGAATCATCAATGTTTCAATGATCCTTTCTAGAAGTGACAGATTGATTCTTAAATTAAGAAGAAGAAATAAAACCTGCTAAGATTGAGAATGTGCACTGCAGGAATCAAATCTGAAAATTAAAAAATAAGTCACTTCATAGAGCACTGTACCCTGATGTGATAGCCACCGGGGAAAATTAATGAGCGGATCACATAATGCATCCTGAATAAATAATGACATCTACAGTAGCCACTTTGTCTAATCAATCCTACCCCTAAAGGTCAAACCTTGTGTCAGGTGAGTACCACCCCGTCCAGTCAGTGTCTGCTACCACGTCTCCGGTTTCCTTGGCAGGTGAGCCGGTAGGTATTTGCACACAGTCCAGGTAAACTGTGATCTGATTGAATTGTAAACAGAGTCGGCACAGAAACGTTTTCTGCCTGATCGGAATGCCACTTACGTTCTCAAGACCACAGCACGTAGCAGCCATGGGAAACACTCAGAGAACTACCGTAGAGACAGACGGACAGCTACGCGACGGCTCTTTCGTATCTCTCTATAACAGCAACCCAAAGAAGGACGTTTCTTGACCAAGAACTTTACGTATTGCCCGTTTATTTCTTCACTCCAGTTTGACAGCGTCAAGAACGGACTCCTACCCGGAGGTGTGCTCAGTAGTGACCGCTCTTCCAGTTCTTCTGTTAAGCTCCATCACGGGTTCTGTTCAGACAACAGCTGATCGATGGAATTTAGGTTTTTGTCCCATTTAAATGCAATACTAAGGATCTAAAATAAATGCTGGCCGCTGAAGACACATTTTTCCTCCCGCCCTCTCCCTCCGACTTCCTTCCTTCCTTCACCTGTGTGTAAACTCGGAAGACCTAGCTGCTTAGGGCGGGGCGGTGCTAGAGAAGGTAGCACAACACAGGCCTTTCTCTTTCGTTCCCAGGTGAGCAAAGCCTTTTTCAAGAGATTTCCAGTTAAGACCCTTGCTGGGGAGATAATACGTGCTTTATCTTTAAAAATGTGTTTTCAGTAGCTGACCGGGAAGGAGGGGATCTTATTTCAGGCAAGCAACATATTGTCAATATTTCCCTAGACATCCATTTCAGACCCGTGAAATGAATCCCAGGCCCAGGCTGGTTGGAATCTGGATGGTTTCTAGTGCCAGGGAGGAAGGGTTAAACGGGAAGGTCACAGGAAAGGTATGTTTCGCATCCATGAGCAGCTGAGGAGAGTCTTTCCTGTCTCTCAAACGCACCTGGGAAGATTACAGAGAGAGACAAGCACGGCATCAGTTCTCTGACTCTACAAGGCTTTTTATTTTTCTGTCAAACATACTACCCGAAAAATCCCCGACGAGTAGAGAATGTTTCTCTTGGTTTTCAAAGCACTCAACTTTCCCAATAAGCTGTTATTTAAAAAGTTAACATATTATAAAAATAAGATAAACAAATCAAAGATTAAAAACATTACTTTTTAATCACTTAAAACATTTCCACTCAAAAGAGGGCATTGACGATGACGCTAAAAACAAAACAAAACAAAACAAAACAACAAACCTCACAGCCATTGAATCAATTTGGACTCATGGCCACCCTGCAGGACAGGGTAGAGCTGACCCTGTGAGGGTCCAACTGCTGCTCCATTAGGGTAGACATTTCACCCTTCTCTCAGCTGGTGGTTTTGGACTGCTGGTCCTGTGGTCTGTAGCCCAATTGGTAACCCAAAGGGGAAGGGGGAAGCGGAGGAACAGCTCTTACCTGTATAGTGCGAATAAATGATACGGAGACTCTTTCTTCAAACTCGTTGACCGGAGTGTACAAAAACAGCACTTTCACAATCTGTAAGAAAGGAGATGATCGCGGTTCTCAGTATATCAGCAAATGCGCCCGGAGAGCCAGTGATCTGGGGGGAGGGCCTGGGGTCTGCACACACATTCATCGGCTCTACGCAGGGAGAAGGGAGAGGGAGCTGGTCGGAGGGCAGGTTTACCTTTAATTACCTTAACTTTCATACGTATGTACTCTTTGTATGATTTATAAAGAGACATGAAATATTTTGGAGAATACCACACGAAACATGCCTCCACTCCCAATCGCCCGCCTCCCAAAGCAGCAATTGCCAACAGTGTCCTTAGTATTCATTTAGCTATTGTCTGTACAGCACACGTTCTGTTTTCCATATATGCTTTTGATGGCATTCTGCGATTGCTCATCTCTCTTCAAGTGGCACATTTCCAGCGAGAGTTAAAAATAAAGGAACTAAATAATATTTCTTTTAAATCATATTTTTACCCTTAGTATTCATTTAGCTATTGTCTGTACAGCACACGTTCTATTTTCCACATATGCTTTTGATGGCATTCTGCGATTGCTCATCTCTCTTCAAGTGGCACATTTCCAGCGAGAGTTAAAAAATAAAGGAACTAATTATTATTTCTTTTAAAACATATTTTTACAAAAGATAACTTATTATAAATAAATAATAACAAAGGCCTTTAAAATGAACCAATTCATTAGAGGCTAGGAAGGGCTTTAAAAGCCACTAAGAGACATAGTTTGGCCCTAGTGAAGGAGCAGTATTGTAATTTTTGCCTGGTGTCCAACTCTCATTGCTTTCTTAAACAATGTTCAGTCATACATTTTAAAATGGTGTAAGTGAATATTTTATGCATTTTAGTTTTAAAAGGTCTTTCTACACATGTATAATTTCCTTTTCTTAGTAGTATTTTTAAGTTCTATACCACTGAATTGATTAATGGTGTTCCTAGAACTACCAAATGGCCCACAGAGGTTATTTATATTAGTACCAAGAAACTGATAATGCTCCCTTAAACGAGAGCAGCCATGTTTGCAGACCACAGATGCGCAAATGCACTTTGAGCTCGCACTTAACTGCAGTCCTGCTCTGAGACCAATTCGGTCTCACAATGTGCCCTTGCTCCCTTCACGAGGGCAAGTAACACCCCTGCAGTGGGATGCCAGGATGATTAACAGGAACATCGATGATCAGAGCCAGATGGGAGCTGACAGGGAACTCTATATGAGCTTAAAATCAGAGCACCTGGTGTGTCGAAGGCTATGCACGACAGTACAAGTCCAGAACCCGTTACAGGGCGTCCACCTGGAAGAAGCCTTCAGGGAATTCCCTCGGTTAGCTGACCAAAGATGCGAACAGGCTTGTTCTCAGCGTGCACTGTCAAGTGGATCACTGCACTTCGGCGAAAATGTCACATTTTACCACTGGTTTCCCCGTTGGACCCATTTGTAACTTGTTCTACGTTTTGTTCTTTTCTGCTGTCTCCTGGATTGAGGGTTTCCTGTGTTTTATTCTGTTGTTGGGATCTGTTCTGTGTGGTTTTCTTCATATGAAATTCAAGACAGGAAAAGCTATAGGGACAATAACTAGATCGATACTTTCTCAGGGTTATGGCAAAGGAACTGGAAGGGAAATGGAAGCCAATAATAAGGGATACAAGAATTCACACAATGCTCTAAAACGGATTGTGGAGATGAATGCACGGCCTTTTCAATATATTTAAACCACTGACTCCTATGGTATGTGAATTATATGGCAATAAAATTATTTAAGAAGAACAAAGTATCATAGAGAGACCCAGAGTGGTACAGATCAGACATCCAATAAACAAATGTTTGAATTTTTTAAAACATCAAATCATTTTTTGGGGATAAAATCATTATATCTAATTAAATCATTGTTAAAATAAGGTAGAAAGATATTTCCATTTTTTTAAGGCATAGTCAGATGTGACCATTTAACTTAAAATAGAAAAAAATTTAATTAAATTGGACAGTGCTGATCTAGTAGCAAAGATGAAATCAAACCCCAGAGAGATGTGGACTAGAAAGTGGGAATGTTTATCATGCCGGTGAGCAATTATTGAAATCAAGAGCAAGTATTAGGAGTTTAAAGATGTAGGACCTTTGTGAAATAAAATTCGCCAAATGAATTATATTCTAACTTTCCATGGTTGTGGAAATCGCAAGAGGTGGGATTTAAAATTATAACACAGTAACGTAATTTTGCTGTATTACTAAGAATTAAGTAACTAGAAGTTCAGCATTTTGAAGCTGCAAATCTTGCATCTGACTCTACTGATTTGGGTTCTGATTGCAATACGGGGCACACCTGGAGAGCTCTAGGTTCTAAGATACGGGACAAATATTAAAGAAGTCCAGCAATCAACAGAAAATAACCCGGCAAAAGAAAACAAAAAAGGGGCTCATCCGTGCCTTCGTGCCTGGTCCTGCTTCGCGCTGTTGCCCTCGTCTTCCAAGGATTCCGCGCCTCAAATGCTGGGCATCCTTCAGCGTCTAGCTGGCTTTGCCCAGATCCTTCTCTGAACCGAGTCAGGTATCACGCCTGAGTTGCCTCACACCGCTTCCTCTACTCTAGAACTTGCCAGACCGAATGTGATGCACCACCTAGGCCCAGCTCTGTCTTCCCCACTAGCCTGTATGCGCCTTAAAGGCAGGGATTGCTCCTTATTGAAGTATCTCACTGAGCAACACTTGGGGCTTGGACATAAGACCCCCATCCGGTGTTTTATGGAAAGGAAACAAGGATTATCTGTCTTTGAAAAAGAGAAGCCTCAAGAATCATGCAGTTTTCAAATAACACAGCACGTTGTTGTTGTTTGATAGGACAGACACTTTAGGTACCCCACCTCATGCAAGCGGGGAGTTTTCTCTGTTCGTGGATGTAGCTCAGAGCCTGGGACATGACCAAACACTGTGGGCCCTCAATCTCTATGGGTGGAGCATGGAAGAAACAGATGACTGCAAGTAGCATGGAATGTGTGACATTCTGGACAACTCTCCAGTCTTCAGATCTGCAGAGGCCTACCGGCTTCTCCGCCACAGAGGAAGTCAAGTTAGTACAAAGGTAATAAGTACAGCGCCCCTTGACGATGCCAGCGATCAGGTGTGCTAACTGCTGACCCATTCCCCCTAGGCCATGGCTTTACCTGGGCAGTCGTTAGGGCATTGCACATGGAACAAATGGCTTCTGCGTCTTCATCGGTCTTCTTCTTCACTTGCAAAAGCTGAGCAGCTTGGATGAGCGGCTCCAGGGTTTCTTTCGCCCCGCTGTTCACCAGATTCTTGTCACGCAGCCATTCTTCCAGCTGGCTGACATTGTACCTGTGCCAAGCAGAGAGAGTCGGCGAGAGGAAGAATACCAATGTGCTGAACATTGTCAAAATGTCTTAATTTGGGGGGGCATGGCCTTGTCAGGATGTTATGCTAAAGTGACAGGCAGTATTTTTGTTCAATTCCCTTAAATCTCATCAGCTATGCTTGAAACTGTCCCATTATACATAGTTTAGAGGCTTATCATCATAATTATGTAAGATTAAATGGCTCGAGAATATTCTTTCACGGAAGGACCTGACACGGAGTCACCGTAACACGCAGTATGAAATAAAGCTTGCTCTTAAGCCAAACAGAGCACGCCATGTGGCTGTGCCCTGGTGGATCCGCCCACCAGGACACACTTCATAACATCTCGCTGCTTGAGAGACGAGTTCTTTTTGATCGGTGAGGATCGATAAGCCTTGACGTGCTTTCTCTTCCTTATGGCAAAGGCCAAGTCAGTGAACGGAAACATCGGCTGCCCCACGTGGACCTCGGGCCCACGCTCTGCCTGGGGAGGAGCCCGGCAGCGGAGAGCCTGGCCCGGGACAGCTCCGGAATGGAAGTAGAGGAAGACAACTGAGGAGAGGGCCTTGAAAGACAGACAGACAGACAGACAGACAGACAGACACACAGCGAGACCAAGAAACCGTGCTGAGGTCTCACGAGCTGACCAATCCAGTGAGCAAACCCAAACCCACTGCCTTCAAGTCGATTTAAACTCACACATATTTGAGGTTAAATACTTACAGGAGCAGACAGCCTCGTCTTGCTCCGGAGGAGCAGCTGGTGGGTTTAAACCACCAACCTCACATTTAATAGCTTAGTACTTGTACACGGCACCACCAAACCAACCACACCGAACCAAACTCACTGCCATCGAGTTCATTTTGACTCTACAGGACAGGGTAGAACCGCCCCTGTGGGTTTCCGACTCTGACTCTTTATGGAACTGGAAAGTCTCATCTTTCTTCCACGGAGCGGCTGGTGGTTTTGAACTGCTGGCCTTGTCGTAACTAA